GCGGCCGAAGCCTATTCTTATCAATGTTGGATCAATAATGGATATTGACCGTGCGCAACTTGCACACGAGACTTCCAAGATATTTCATCATTATCCAAAAAGGTTATGTGTAGATCTTACCTACCACAAGATCAGGGGTTGTGGCTGAAAGACAGCAGTAAGAAGGAGCCAAGAAGTAACAGTGGAAAGGCTGCAGAAAGCCATGTGCGCAGAGGAGGGGGTTGGAGCAGAAGGTGAAGACGAAAGCAGACGACAGAACATTGTTAGAGAGCAGGAAAGGAAGTGAAAGGAGAAACTTTAACAGAAGAAAATGTCCGTCGCTATCCGGATTCGAACCCGGGACCTGTTGAAGGAGAGGTGAACACCTTAACATCTAGATCACGAGAGCCCCTTCTTTTGTATGTAACAGCGAAGAAAATAATACATGTATATTGCAGCACAGACGCCGGTTTTCAAGTTTCATGGCGATTCGCCTTTTTGCTGCCCTGAAAACACCGCGCAAGAATCTCGATTTCTAGATTCTAGGTCTAATACTCTGCCGCAGACATCCATCTCAGCGTCGCTACTTTCTTCTGGGAATTTACATTCTTTGTGTTTGTGTATGTGGGAAGGGGGGGTGGTATTCTTAATTGCGAACATGTCATTTTCACTTTTTTTTTAGATCGATGAAGGACCATCCTTTTGATTTAGGTACCCGAGACATCTTGTCCCACATTGCTACGTATTTTGTGTGCACTTCGGAAGTAATTTCACTGCCAATGACTAAAAACACGTTTTACGGCTAAACTAAAAAATGACTAAAAAAGAGAAACTATAAAAAGTAGGGGGGAAAACAAAACAAAACACACACAAAAACCAAAAAATCTTGAAAGGTTTAAAACGGGGTTGAGGGATGCTCTTTGCTCGATTATTATAAAACGAAAAAAGGCTTGAGAACTCATGAGTGGAGACGGATGCGGCAATTGAAATTTCCTCCTCTCAAAGACTTGTTATATTTTTCAAAGTCCACTTTTTTTCAAGTGCCCTTCATCCTTCTCTAAGCTGGTTATGGGTATAATCCTAGTTTTGCAACGAAATGTTCTTTGTTGATAAAGAATAATGTTAGAAGTTCTTCCTTTAAGACGAGCTGTGTTGGGATACTAGCGTACACGATGTGTTTTTCAATTGTTTTGTGTTTTTACTTAACCAAAAAAACTTAATTAGACATTCAACGTCACGCATACTAAGAAAGGTGCAAAGTTGAGTTTTTGCTTTGTGCATGGTGTTTCGAAATGTGCCACGGCATTGCAATTAGTCTGTTGTTGATCGGACATATTATGTGTTCGCAGCGTGTTAAGAAGTTAAATTGTTGTTCTAATTAGGCCCCTGTTTAGATGATAGTTACACAAGGAAAAAAGTGCACTGGTCAAAATGTATTATCTTTCATTTTTTTAAAAATCTTTCGAATGCGCACTACTTGAAAATCAAAATCCACTCCACTTTGTTATCTTTTTTGTAACAGCGTTCAGTATCGAGAAACATCTCTCGAAAAAACGATGAAAAGTAGAAATTATCAGCCTTTATCTCACTTTAAAAAATATAACTGGGTTATGTAAATTGTATTATAGATAACCCTTAATGCTAATTAAGCTTATTTGAACAAAAGAAAAGAGGGAGAGGCGATAAAATGAGAGAGTGAAAGCTTAAATTATGTTCTTGAATCGGTTGCCTTGACCCTGATCTGACCGCGTCGTTACTACTGTTAGTGCACCTTCCTTATCAGCTCATTTAGATAATAATTTATGTAGATACTACGTCAGGTACTTGTACGGATAACAACAAACCGTACGGTGCGCTTTGTTTGGCTCGTTTTGTGTTATTTCGTTTTATTTCGTTTCCCTATATAAATCTATAGCTCACACACACTCACACACACACACACACACACACACACACAC